GGGTTAGAGTTTAGGGTTAAGGGTTTTATAGCTTTAGGCTTCAAGGATTGGAGCTTTAGCTTTGGGGTTCCGGTTTTCACTTGCCAAGCACTTCGGGCTCTAGGCAGCGAGAGTTCATGGTTTGGGGAAACAGAAGACAGGTTTGCTTTAAAGGTAGTGCCTTGACCTACCAAAATACTTATCCAACATCTTACTAGCAGGTCTTGAAGATTTGCAGTTTACCCTTGTAGTCTTGTGCCCAGTGCTGACTAGCGTGTTTGGTTGGACAGGATCAAACAACATTTTCGTGTGGGAATCAAAGCTCAGATGATCTGGTAAACCTTAAATTCTTAAATTTTTAAAGGCCAACCCTAAACCCCAAACCCAAACCTCAGGTGATCTTGCTGGCCATTGGCCTCTTCTCTTCTTGCATCACCGCCATCACCTCCACCATGGCCTCCCTGAGGACGCCGCCTAAACCTTGCATCTTACACACCGGGACCCTAAACCAAGCCCCCTACTCCCTAAACAACCTCTAAACCCCCAAACCCCTAAACCCCTAAACAGGCCCTAAACCCACCCCTAACCCCCCAGACCCTAAACCCCCAAACCCCTAAACCCCAAACCCCACAGACCGCAAACCCGAAACCCTAAACCCAAAACTCCTAAACCCCCAAACCACAAACCCGAAACCCTAAACCCCTAAACCCTAAACCCCTAAACCCCTAAACCCCTAAACCCCCTAAACCCTACACCCAAAACTCCTCAACCCGCAAACCCCAAACCCGACTTTATTCATTCCTCTCTGGGGAGTCCATGCTTCATGTCGCGGTGTTCCAGATCCTCTAATGGGTTTTATAGGGTTTAAAGTTTAGGGTTTAGGGGTTTAGGGTTTAGGGTTTAGGGTTTAGGGAGTACTGCTGTTCAGAGCGCCCAGCGGATTCCGCTTTCATCTTGTTGGACACTGGCGAGAGGAAAAGGGTCGCGCAAAAACAAAAAAACGAAAAATAAACCCCTAAACCGAACCCTAAACCCAAGAGTCCTAAACCCCTAAACCCCTAAACCCCGAAACGCTAAAACCCTTAAACGCTACAGCGAAGAAATCTCCCTCCCATGCGAGGACCGCCCGGAGCCAAAAGTCAGCCCACCAGGCGAGGGGTTGGGGGTTTCGGGCTGGGGTTCCTAGAAAGGGGGTTTAGGGGTTTAGGGTCTAGGGTTTGGGCTTTCGGGCGGGGGTTCCCAAAAGGGGTTTAGGGTCTAGGGTTTAGGGTTTAGGGTCTATAGGGTTTAAGGTTTATGGTTGAAGGTTTAGGGTCTAGGGTTTAGGGTTGAGGGTTTAGGGTTTAAGGTTTAGGGTTTAGGGTTTAGGGTTTAGGGTCTCGGGTTTAGGGTTGAAGGTTTAGGGTTTAGGGTCTAGGGTTCAAGGTTCAGTGTTTAAGGTTTAGGGTTTAGGGTCTCGGGTCTAGGCTAAATTTAGACAACAACGGAGGCATCATCGGATTTTTGGGTTGGGTGCTGTCGCAGGCTCGTGGGTGCTAGCTCAAGCCGCATTGCAGCCGCCACAAACTCGAAACCCTAAACCCAGTTTAGGGAGTTTAGGGCTTAGGGTACCCTAAACCCTAAACCCTAAACCCCAAGCCCAGTTTAGAAAATAGCCCATATCCCGGTCAGGCCAAGCTGTTCCAGTTCTTCAACGACCGGAAGCTGTCCGTGGGCCTCTATGGCAAAGTCCAAGAGGTCCTGGAGAAGGCTCCTGAAGTGGCTTTGGGGTTTAGGGTTTAGGGCTTAGGGCTTAGGGTTGGGGTTTAGGGTTTAGGGTTTAGGCTTTGGGGTTCCATCTGAAGGCTCAGGGTTGGGGGTGTAGGGTTTGGGGTTCCGTGGAGGAGTCTAGAAGGTTAGCTTGTAAGCTAAGCCCTCTTCCCTAAACCCGTCTAGAAGGGTTCGGTAAGAGTTCTTCTCTGTTTTTCAGGATTCTGTATCGGCGTTCCCTGAGTCTCTAAGGATGCTGAATTATAGGATGTCTTCAAGGGCTTGTATATATGTTGGTATGTGGTTTATATAACCATTGTATGTTGATGTACGATGTAGAGTAGGTCTTAGATGAAGGACGTTTTGGAGAAAGCGTGTCAAGTTGATTTATCTAGCGGTCTCCGATGCAAAGTCGACAGTAAATGAAGGATCTAACCCTAAACCCTAAACCCTAAACCCTAAACCTTAAAGGGTTCATAGAGGATGCCTCAGGGGCTTTGTAGGGTTTGACTGAAGTGTGCGCAGGGTTCTATGAGGACACAATACCTCAAAGACCAAAATTTGTGCCCTTAACAGTAAGGGTCCTATATCCTCGTACTATGAATCCCTATATGGGATTTGAATCTTTTCGTCCTTAAAGTAAGGATCAGTTTAGGGTTCTATAGGCTTCTAGAAGTTTAAGAGACATGAAGCAGGCTATGGAGCCCGAATCAGAGCCCAAACAGACCAACGGTTGATCGTTTGAGGGTTTAGGGTCCTGAAACCTTCTAGAAAACCACTCAAATCCCAATGCTTGGGACGAAAACTGAACCGCATGTCCGTCTTGGTGCATCTGTGGCGGTCAGGATGGCCACTTCGAGGTGAGGGTTCAGGAGCGCGACGTAGCTTGGCTAACTCTAAACCCTAAACCCGAAACCCTAAACCCTAAACCCTAAACCCTAGACCCCAAACCCTAAACCCTAAATCCCTAAACCCAAAACCCTAAACCCTAAACCGTGCCTTGGCCTTGCCAGGATTTAAAGTTTGTCCTCACGCGTTTCTTTGTTCCTGGGGGTTCGCCCGGGTTTTGGGGAGCGCTGTTAGAGAAGTCGAAGTTCTTATAAGCTTGTGGTGAGTTCCCCTGGGATGTAGGGATTGGGGGTTTCGAGTTTTTGGGTCTAGAGTCTGTTTTGTTGTTTCGATTCGGGGTTTAGGGTCTAGGGTAGGTTCTTTGTGTTCAACTTCTTCTTTGCAACATGTAGCTGGACTTTGGCACTGCTTAGCCTACCCTCACAGGTCAAAATCCCTACGAAGACCTACCGAGGCTTGAGACGAAATCCACCTTAAACTCTAAACCCTAAACCCTAAAACAGGCCCGTTGAAGCGCCCTGCCCTAAGGCCTGGGTTCACGGCCCTAAACCCAGAGCCCCACAGCGCTGGTCAGTAAGAAGTACACTTTACAGAAAGTGTGTTCCCAACTTGGCTTCGGGTTTAAGAGGCTGAGGAATTCTGGTCGTATCCTGTTGCGCGACCCTGGTTTAGGGGTTTAGGGGTTTAGGGTTTAGGGGTTAGGGTACTATGATGTTGAAACCCTAGACCCTGAACCCTAAACCCCCACCACCACCTCTGCCCATGAAGATGAGGTCGATCTGCTGCAGAAAATCCCGCAGAGGCCGATTGCCGGTTGTTTTTGTGCAAATCCTAAAATCCTAAACCCTGGGGTTTAGGGTTTAGGGAAACCCTTTAAACCCTAAGCCCTAAACCTTAAGCGCTAGACCCTAAACCCCAAGCCCTAAACCCTAAACCCTAAACCCTAAAGCCCTAAGCTCTATAAGCCCTAAACCGATGCTTCTGCGACTTAGGCCCTCGGCTTCATGCTATTTGGGGTGTAGGTGTTGCCTGGACCCTGGTTTAGGGTTTAGGGTTTAGGGTTACCTTTTTAGGGTTCCTTAGTAGTTATGAAGTTTTTATATACGTCCTTGAAAAGGTAGGTTACTTGGGGTTGAGGCAGGTCTTAGTCGGCTGATGGTTCAGGTTTCAGGTGGGTTATTGGTTATTGTTTGGAGTTTAGGGGTTGGCTCATGGATTTTTTCGGGAGTTGTTGGTTGTTTTCAACTTCAGGTTAAAGCCGGATCCCGAAACCCTGAACCCTAAACCCTTAATCGCAAGTGATCTCTTGCTGTACATTAACCCCAAAATAACCTGCCTTTTTTTAGTATTTATATAAAGAACTCATAATAAGGAACCCTGAAAAGGTAGGTTCCTTAGGGTTCAGGTAGACTTAATTCAGGTGCTCTGTTATCTTCGGGGGCCTTCTGAAGTTTGATTGCCGGGTTTTTGGTAGTATCTTCTTATAGGATCCTTAAGGGAGGGTGGCTCAAGGGGGGAGGGTCCTAGGGATCCTTAGGGAGCTTTAGGAAACCTAAGAGAGCACTAGACAGAATTGGGGATTACTGGGTTATAGACCCCCCTTACAAT